TCGTAGCGTTAAATCACGTGCGAACACGAACATCAAAGCTACCACGCAAAAACCAGAGAGAGAGAGAGAGAGAGAGAGAGAGAGAGAGAGAGAGAGAGTTCTCGATGTGTTTTCGGGAATGAAAAAAAATAGCAGCGGAAAATGTACATTCTCATGAGTTCATGAAACAAGTTTTTGGCTAAACGTCGTTACTTTTTTTTGGCACATCCACTGTGCGACTGTCAACAAATTTTATTCATGTCATCATTTCAGTTTGCAGAAATGTCTGTCGCAAAGATCTAAACAAAATGGTATGCGTTCAGCGAATCTTTTATTTCATCTATTTTTATATTTTCAAAATAGAGAAAAGAAAACGGTTAAATTCAACTTGTTTTCATGTGATTTTGACATTTCGTCTACATTGGCCTTGAGCACGATCGTCCGTTTGTGCGATTTTCTCTTTCGATGCAATTCTTCGGTCGGTCGCTTTGAATGTGTCCCAAATATTTAATGACGTCGCACTTTATGCGTTCCGTTTGTGGAGATGAAATACAGCTTGTTGACAAAATTCATGAGTATTCAAAAAGGACAGCAATGATGATGTTAATCGAAAGCAGCTGCTTTGTTCAATCACAATTGGTGCGATATGCACAGATAGAACACATTTTGTATACTTTACGTTGTATTGATGAAAAGCTCTTTCATGGTCAACACGTTCATTTGAATGTAATGCCATTCGCTGATATGTTGATTGTCAATTTGCGAAATGGAAGCGTGCGCAAAAAGAAATATCGAAATCTCCTGAAAAAAAAACTTCATCGTGAAAAGGTCATTGCATGCTTCTCATCAAAATATGTTGTGGTTACGCGATTTGATGAAATAACGAGTGCACAGTTATTTTAACCCAGTTTCTGTGCTGTGAACAAACAATTCGCGATCGAAACATATGCTACATTCTCCTTTTGCTTGCACCACCACCATCACCGATGCCGCGGGTTTATTTATCTTTTTCTCGCTTTGAATGAACAACAATCGCGCGTGGCACAATCATGTGGTGGACTTGTTGTGTTGTTCTTCTGGCAACTATTTTTATCAAACTCAAACCGTTTCTTGTTTTCTTTTCGCAATTTTCAATTTGTTTTCCTTTCAACAAACAGCACAGCTTTCGTTTATGTTCGGCGAATGTCTGTGTGTGTATACGCGCGCTATTCATTCTACAATTGAATCGAAAAACGCGAGAGAGAGAGAGAGAGAGAGTGGAAATGGTCTCGAGCAGAAATTAAAGTTGCGAATAAAAGATGAAAAATTACCGAACGCAAATAGAATGAACTAGTAGATGATGATGATGATGATATCATACAAAAGCATTTTATTTTTACGGCCATTGCACATGAGGCAACAGCGAAAAAGGGCTGCGAAGCGAGGCAGCAGGAGAGCGCGCGCGTCAGCTTGTTGCTGACCAAATTATATTGTAGTAAAATTTATTTTCCTTAATTTATCTCATTTTCCTCGCTCCTGTTTTATTTCGCTCAACTGACCGAATTTTGACCGCTTTTCATGTCTTTCACTTTCGCTCGAAACATAACAGAGAGGAATTTGTTTTATTCATTTTTTTTCTCTGTTTGCATTTTGGCAAAGGAACGACAAATAAAAACTGTTTTGTCTGCTGCATAAAGTCAACTAAAGAGCGACTGTGTATATGACTTTGTATCTTATGATCTACGACGGTTCATGTTGGCCCAAAAACAGTTTACTGAGGCGAATGAATCTTATTGTAAACATATGATATGGCGATTCCATGCGAAAGATTTATTTTTATGCTTTTCTGCGGCACTTTGTTTGCATTTCGAAAGGAAGACGAAACAAGAACGCCGTTCTTTTTTCGATTCAATTTTTCTGGGCCATTCCCGCATTAAGTTTTAGTATTTCCGTTTTACACAATATGAAGCAGTGAAATTAGATGGAATCAAGTCGCCTGAAAGTATTTAGTTGCAAACCATTTTTTTTTTCAGTTTTGAAACAGAATTTCCGTTGAGTTTTTTTTTCGTTTGAAAAATATACTCAAAGGATGGAGAATTTCCGGAGGAAATTGGAAATAGTAGCCGAAACATCGGAAATATGCATAATAATTAAAAGAGGCAAATACAATTCGAATTTCGCAAACGGGCCATTCTTCTATTACTTTGGATGGGAAATTGAATTTTTTTTCCACGAAAGTATTGAATATTTCTGTGATTAAATTGGATCCAAACAACTGCGCAAACTGGCACAGTGTCCAAACAATCGCGTGCCGTGAACAAATTTCCAAATCATTTATCGATTCCCACACCTTAAAAAAATGTTTACATTCTTATGTTCCGTGTGTTTATTCACGGTGGCATTTGCATAAATAGCGCCGCACCGTGTTTCGCCGTCCGTAGAGAGTTTCCGTTAGATTAAATGTGTATGAATATGCCTCAGGATGGATTTGGTATTGCCATGCAAAAAAAAGCCAGCAACCAAAGCACCACTGCTATTCGGAACGAAATGAATTATGACTTGTGTGTGTGTATGTGGATGATGAGCAATAGCTCACGGCATAGCTTTGTTTTTCTGCCCTCAAAAAATGAGACAAAGCCTGAAAATTGTTACTACATTTTATTATTTTGTAGCGACCTTTTTTCTGATTCGCTTTTACTTTTCAGGACATTCTTTTTTCCCAATGAAATGTAGTTTATTTATGATTATCTCGTTGAGCCTTTCATATTCGCATTTTTTCCTCGGTGTAGATAAGTCTGTTTGTCGTTGTGTGTAATCGCGTATAAATCATAAGCTCGTGGTTTGCACACATTAAATCATAGTCGAAGACAGTAGGAAAAAAGAAGTGGAAAATTGTTTACACGCAAAACGTTGGTCTCTTTGTTGCTGTTGTTGCTGCGAAACTTCAAATAGACGGCTTAACTTTATTATACACTAAACCGTTTGAAGAGATTGTCTCATGGTAATGGATAGAAAAACAATGCTTCACTTTTGATTCGAGCTTATTCCATTCGGAAAATTACCATCGAAAAGGATTTTCTACTTTTAAGAGCGGCTAAATAATAGGATTCCATAGTTTTTTTTGCACATTCTGCACCCAGAAATAATTTAATGGACTTTTGAAATAAGCTCATCAGGATAATTCAAAACAGTGGAAAAGCTTTTGCAAAATGAGTTTTTCATTTAGTTGAGTGTTAACTCAACAGTGAAAAAACCATCACTTCAATCGACTCGCTCGGAATTCAAATTTAATTTGCACGTTTGCCGTTCAATTCGCTTACGGCAGTGTTTAAAGTCAGATTTTCAGCCGGCATTCGATATCGGTTGCCATGGAAATAAAAAGCTTCATAACAAAATTTCCACCATCGTCGTCTGTCGAACGCATACTATATCCGAATCGTAATTCAGTCAGCTATTGTTGTTCCGAAACCATGAAGGGCGATTTTCGGTGGTTCATCTACAATTGGAAAACGGATTTCCAAAGAATGTGTGAGCACAGTGAATAAATAGGCGTAATGAAGTGGTTTACCTGGAAATAATACTGTGTTAATATTTCAATGTTCGAATTTATACCATTTCGATGTATCGGAAACATTGATTTGACTGCGAATATAATTGCATAATGTTCGATGAGTATCCGGACGTTGTACGAGATCCAAACGACCCACACTGCACCATAGCAACGTTTCTGCATCGGATCGCATTCACCGTGCTGCATGCATCATTCTACATCGAACGGGTTTGGCTTTTAATTTGTGGAAAATTGCTCGCAGCTTCAATAACCAATTAATTTTCGCTTATTCGCCCAACAGCTGTATTTTCAATATGATTGAATGTTTGACAAATACAAATTGATGAAAATTCATTTTACTCGAATATTTTCGTTGCTGTTTTGTTGAGCTAGCTCGTTCCAGGAGCCACAATAAAATTGTTTAACTATTGATTTTATGTGGAAATTGGCAAAACATGTTTTTGTGTTAATGCTGAATGGAATCGAAATTTAGTTCAACGATTTTAACTGCATTTTCAACCAAAATTTCTGAGAAATGTAAACCATTCTCTCTTCCGTTCGTGGAATTTAGAGAATATTTCAATTGCTCAGGAACATTTTCAGTCTGGTTTCGTTCCATTTTTTATTTCACTTGTAGGCCAAACAAATGAACTATGCTTTCTCTAATGCATTTGAAATGCCATAAATCATAATTAATATTCAAAATGAATTTATTCGATTTTAATTGCTCTGTTAAAATGTCGCCTCGATTGATTTTAATTGGAATGATTTTAGAAATTAATTGTTGAATATGTATGATTCGTCTGGCTATTGTTATTCAGTTTCACTTTTATCCGGTTCGAAATGGTTCGATTCGAATTGAATCGATTTTAGTGCACGATAAATGGGTTAAACAGAACAATGTAGTATACAATTTAAAAGATATGACAGAATTAGGAAATTATTCAAATTTCGAAGTGATGCAAAAAATAAAATTTATTGTCAACTTCAAATGAATTCAAGTGAGAACTGCCTAACCTTTCAGGAAACAAATGATTTAAGTGGAACAATGGCTTGTGTAAAAGGTTATTTCATTGAGAAATTTATTGGTTTCTCCTCAAAATTTTGCGGTTCGTTTGATGACACAGCAAAATACAAAACTTGAACCCATTTTTTGTGTCAGCCGCTGCGCTGTGCGAAAAAACAACTAGGAAAATTGGCGAAATTTCACACAAAGAGAATTGAATTCGGATGAAGTCATTCTTATTTTGAGGTATGGTTTTGCAAACGTCGCAACGATTCAAATGCGGACGCTCAAACAAATTAAACACGATGATTGCGTATTTGGACTGCGTTGTTTATTCATAAATTATATGAAATATAAACTTCATTTCCTTGACCCATTCTACGGAGACGGGATCCAAATGCATGATTTTAATCTATCTTTGCCTAAAAATACCATTTCGTCTTAAATTCAATTAATTAATTTTTCGTTTCTTTTTTTTGCTTACAGAAAAACTACGATGCCAAACCACTGATATCAAAGTCGCAAACGGTGAGTTTGACTAACTGCATTTAAAAATATACGAGCAACAAAAAACTTCATAAACATATAAAGTTGTAATTTTACCGCTTGATTCAAATATTCGATAAATGAAATCAAGAGAAAAAAAAACCGTTTTGAATAGATTGGTCGGCGGCGGTCGACCTTAGGAACGATTAAATGGAAATGTTGGCGGTCGCTGAGGAGTCAGAGTTCATTCAGTAATCGTAAATCGTGCCTTTCACTCAACAGGCACACACACACACACACACTGAATATGGTGATGCGCAAGACACTGTGAATTTTCTATGCGGATGAAAAAGAAAAATATTATCAAAAAATTTATTTATATATGTTGATGCCGGTAAATAAATGGGCCGGACAAGAGTTTTCATAACGAAATCATTGTGCGCACGATTGCGATTTCAGAGTTTTGACAGGAATAAATCTACATTTTATATTGCTACTCTGATCCCACGATGCGATTTCTTTCCGCAATGCAATGATTTATGTGTTTTGCCCAATGTGAAACCGAAAATGGGAACGTGAGCTGTCGATAATAGTGCAGAATAATTCAAATAAAAAGCATACTTGAACCAAATTAAGTGCATTTCTTGAGTTGAAGACTCTCAAAGAATTCAGTTGCCGTTGAATGCAAGCATCAGAGAGATCTGGCTGACGGTTCATAAATTGTTGATTTTGATGGCAGTGACAAGTTTCACTAATTGAAACGCCCTTTTTTTTCTCATGAATGCGCAATACGCATGAAATTGGTTTCCATCGCCAGCTTTTTTATTGCTAGTGTCCGTATTAATTGACAATGCGTGCCGTTTTCAATTAAAGCATTGTACTTAGGACTCAGTCACGAGAGAGAGAACGTACAATCATCAAGAACTCCTAAAACATTCATAACATTATAGAAATGAAACGCTTGTTGTTGTTCTCGCATGTCTTAATTCATTTGGATGCGCCAGCTGAAATGAATTGTATCGTTGCAAATAATTTGCTTTAAGAATCCGTTTAAATAGATTTCTTCTCTTTACACACTTCGCCTACACGTTATCTATTCACTTCCCTTGCGAGTAATATACATCTTTCTGGAGTCTATAGATACATTTGTATCAGCCAGAGCCAGAGAGAACGCAACAAAGACGCGAAACGAATTTGTCTTTTTGCATTGAATGTGCATAGATCGGTGTTTGTGTGTGTGTCATTGCTTACTCGGCAATGGTGTATTTATGTGCGGCTTTTATTCGGTAAGTGATATGCAAAACGATTTTCTCCCGGCTTTGAGCGATGCATCTTTTATTAGGCGCAATAAACTCTTGTCGAATCGGCGAATTCGAATTGTGTGCATCCTCTTCGTCTACTCCATAGTCGAGTGTGTGCATGAGCATATTGTACTTATCTCGCATTAGTCATATGGTTGCACATTAAAAAAGTTGGTAATTCAATCAACAGCACTCGAACCGACAAAAACTTATCGCATTTCACAAGTTGCAACATTCCCGATCACAATTACACTTCGATTGCATTGCCGCCGCATATATTGCATGGCACGAAAACTTTTGTTCGACAATCACGCACTGATGCACGCCAACTTTACGATTATCGTGCATTTCGAATGCCGAATCCGAATCCGAATCCGAAATGGATGAATGCACAATCCAAATATGTGAATGCAATTCATCCTATTGATGAAGCGAGTTAAAACTTTCATTTCTCAAGGATAAATTCGAATTTATATCGAATAATTCAAGGCAAAGTAAATTGCAAACTACACATTCACTCAGCTCGCGTTGGACGAAATATCGGATTGAGATTCAATGATTTCGAAATCAAATCATCAGTTTCATCGGTTCCCGTTTTTTATTCGTTTCTCATGGAACAATGCCAAAGACAATGATGATGATGACATACTACTTCTCGTCAAAGAATGTGGACAAGCGCATTTTGGTAAAAGTTTAATTTATTTTATGATATCGATCGGGAAAATACCAAGTGAAACGCACGCATATTCTGCTTTTTGGCCGTAGGATATTTCTTCGTTACATTTAATAGCTTAAGTTATTATGTTGTCAATGGAATATTGACGCAGTTTGCCAATCCGTTCATAAATCTTGATTTTGATTACATTTCAAGCGATTTCGCATCGAATTTGGATCAACATCAACATTCTCTGCTTTATATTTTTATCGAGTATTTTTTATACTTTTTTTTCGTCGAGTTGTCCAACAGAAGGAAGAAATATGTTCATTTCTGTCGAAAAAAAAAAATTCAAAATTTATTGCTTCTTTTCAAATATTGAAATATGTAAATTCGGTTGTTTTGATTGCAGTTTCCCTTGAAGTTGTCGCAACATTATCATCATGATAAAACGGCTGCCGATCACTTGGGCTTGAATTATGTGACCGAACGTATTTTGGCGTCGGTGCTGCCGCATCGAGTACAGAACCAGCAGCAGAAACGTGATAATGAACTGGCGGATGGGCCACACATTGGCGATGCACCGCAAGACATCTACGAACAAGAGCTAATATCGATGTTGGAACAAAAACACGGAAAGGTAAACACGAAACGGCAATCAATCAATCGCCTGTTTTTTTCGGACTGCAAGAGATTTTCAGTTCGGGGTTCTTTTTCCCTGACTTGTTCAATTTAATTGATTCGTGCGTATGTTCTTTTTCTCTTTTGTACTCGTTTCAGAATTACAAATTGTTTGATTTGGAGTCATGCATTTCGACGATAACGCTGGAGAAGCTGTGCGAACTGTGCAAACACATGGACTGTTGGCTGGGAAGCGGTCGCGAAAAAGTTGTCATCCTTCAAGATCGGTGAGTGCGATTACAATGACCACATTTATCAATCAAAGTTGTCTCTCTCTCTCTCTCTCGTTCTCTCTTTTTTCGTTGAATTGTCCCTTTTGAGTGATTGATAAGATTGCGTGTAACGAAACTGGAGCAAGTGGTCGGCGTTCAGCAAGAACAAAAATTGATTTCGATTGAATTGAATGAAAAAAAAATTGATCGATTTTGATTGTAAACGTGAACTCAATCGCAGAAGTTTGTTTGTACACATTTTTGATGTTTGCATGCGTCATGGCTGTCAAGTAAACTTCAGATATACGTAATGAATGAACGCATCGAGAACACAAACACTTAGCGGTAATAACATAGCATTTTCATTCGATTAAACATGCATTTGGCTGCCGAGTATAATAAACGCTCTTGCATTCTCTTTTGCATTGCAATTTGTGGCAGCTCATGTTAATCGCTTTTGATGGCCGATTATTATTAGTATTGTGTACCAGTGCCGATGCCAAATAGCGAGCGGCGATTTCAGGTCAATACTACAGAAATATTGAAAGAAAATGTTTGCATTTGCAAAACAGTTAATCAAACATTCCTGCTGGTTCTATTTGCAACGACTTTAACATGCATAATCCATTAGCGCGAGTGTGTGACATCAGCATCGACTTAAACAACGGATTAAATTTTATTTCACACAGATTTTATTGTGGCATTTGTCGCCTGAAATGGATTATTTCCCTCGTATTCGTGTAGTGTAGAATGCGAATGAGTTTATAGAGGAGCCTATTAATGGTGGAATCAATATAATTTTTAATCTTTGACTTAATAAATGAACGAACAACTTGACAACGAATCTTAATTGAATGAAACGGAACTATTGCGGTACCAGCATCTCAAAGTTGTTGCTTTTTTTTCACTCATTCCATATGCACTGATTTCATGAGCCCATTTAATTCCCAATTAATATAATGGGAAAATAGAATTAAATCAATACATTCGATTGGTACGGAAAGTGCATTTGATTCAGTGCAACATTTCATTTCGAGCATTCGAAGAACTGAAATCGTTTTGAGGCTTTGGGCTTTTAATTCGCTAAACACTTGATTGGCCATATCGATAAATGCAAAGCTGCACATGCACACAAAACCATCAATAAATCATGGCAAATGCGAGAGAGAAAACAATTCCAAAATGGGCAAACAAGTGAAACAAACCAAAAAAAAGAATGTTGTAAAATGACCACAGCGTCCGATTTGATGAAGACAAAACAATTGCAATTTTGCTAATGGCACCGATTGAGGCATCAAATTTTTCACACGCGAACTTTTTCAAATGCTAAAAAGCAAACTAAAAAGCAAACAACATAGTAACCGAAGCCAGTAGATATAAAGAGACAGAAAATAGAGATCTTTTGTTGTCAAAACACAGCGCTGCGCTTGGGATCGAATAGCGGTGTTCACAAATCACTAAATCGCGCTGTTTGTTGTTTGCACAAACGCCCATCAGCCCATCGGTGCATTTGGAATTTCTTTTGTGCAAATCAAACATTTGCTGCTTTTTTTCACTGTGTAAACCAAACATTTACGACTGCATCAATGGCTTTTACGCTGGAAAATGTCAAAAATATTTACTTGCGTGGTATAAAGAGGATAATATATCAATTCCCCCATCAAATATTTTATTAAAGCGTTTTTTTTTGTTTGCTTTTGCGAAAAAAAATGATTGAGCAACTATCAACTGGAATGTGGAGCCCAATTCAACTATTTTTCCGATTGAATCAGATGCAATCAATGGAAAAGCAACTATGTAAACACAGCCCAAGTAAAATGAGTATCGAACAGAAAATGCCTTTGAAATGCGATTCACGGACTCTGCATTTTTGGCCTCTTAAAACTCTCTCAAAGTGTATTTGTGTGTCGATTCGTATCTCGTTTGCAATAGCTCAAATGTGCAACCACAAACGCCAGCCATTGATTCTACTTACCTAGTGCAATACATCAAATTGAAAACTCTCGGCTCGAACAATACGGATCGTGGCAAAGAAATGGAAAATATGATGGAACTAAGCACCAAAAAAAAACCAGCGACAACATCGATAAAATTACAAGAATAGCAAATGTTGCAAGAATAAAGAGGCGAAAAAAGAAGGAAAAAAAAAAACGAAAATAATGTATTAATTTCATGTTTCATCATCTGTATCCGTTCGTCGTTGTTTATCGTTTCGATCTAACGGTGCATAGCGTAGAAATATGCTGAATTTTTGCGCTCATTGCAAGAAGAATGGTTGTGTTACTTTTTCTGTTTGTATTACTATTATTGCCAAGATCATCTTCGACACCACGTCTGCCTACATCAATTGCAATTTCATTTCCATTTTGCTTGCTCTTTGTTGTATGTAATATGTGTGTGTATGTGCGCGCCTCAACAAATGGATTGTTATCGACTGCTTGAGCCAAGCAGCTTGCATTGTCGTCTCTTTTGCTCCTTTCACGAAAAACCACTTCAATTAAATAAAGATCACACAAAACGATGACAAAAGAAAGAAAGAAACGGATATTTGATCTTTATAGAAAATTATTATTGTGCATGAAAATACCGTGCAGTACACACACTTTCCAGCAGCTAGGTTTGTGGTGGGGGCAAAGCAACAACAAGTCAACATTGAAATCAAGATAAATCGCAATGAAATGAATAGAAGAGAGCATCGACGACGACAACGACGACTAAAGAGATATTTCTCTATGTCTAGATTTATTTATCGACTTTTTCTTTTTTCCTTATTCGAAAACCCGCCGCCAAGAATGTGCAACGAAAGAAAAATATCTGGTTCGCTTTTATTAAAATTGATTGCGTTTAATGAGATCAGTTTGTGAATGATTGTGCGCATCAACGGCAACTCTTCTGTCTTTCAGAGTGGCATATCGCATCGAATTTATTTCTCATTTTGATATTTCCTGTGATTTTGTGCTTTTGTTTTTTCGGTCTCAGTGGCTCTGTGTGTGTGTATGTGCCAATTGAACGAAAGTGATTCGAATCGGTCAACAAAATTGGCATAAGGAATAGTTGTATCGCGACAGGCTTGAATTTTGGTTCTCTGTGCGTTCAGGTCATTTGACTCTATACCCTCGTGCGTGTCTGTGGAATGTGTGTTCACCACTGCCAAATACATACGTCCAATAAAATTCACTAACGAATCGCGTTGCTTGTCCAGTAGCTCGGTTTCTTGTGTACATGGTGACGCAAAAAAGCGGCGAAATTAAATTATTCTGGCGACAACAACATTGACCGACCGTCATCGTACACTTGACTTGCTTTTTACGTCTTTCGTTCTTCATATTTTCAACTGCTTGACCCTTTTTTCTGTGTTTTGTGCTACGTCTGCTCACAAATTTCGCTGTCGCATTTCATTTTGTTTTTCTTCGCTTTTATTTTGACGTGCGTTTTTTTCGTCGACGACAACGAAAAGTGAAAAAAAAAAAACAATCGCTGGATGTTTACTTTCGTTTGGAGACGCTGATTGTTTACATTGTACAAAATGCGTATGACCTTAAGTTAAAGAGAAGAAGACGAAAGAAAAGAACGTCGCAATGCAAGAACCAAATGAACAAAGTGCTAAGTGAGTTTGATTACGTAAAATATGGCCCAAAAATTAAGTGATTTGACATTGCTCTCGATTTTATTTAGCAAAAACACTTGTTTTGATTCTGACCACTGATTCGGAGAAAGTGAAATTTCATTGAAATGATGAATGTTTTCATTTAAACCATAATAAATGAAAATGAGAAAATAATTTGTTCCATGAAATTCTTAAATTAAATTAAAATTCTTCATCGTTTTTCTTTCCACAGAGGTGACCGTCAGCGATTGGGATCAGCCATCGCCGCTTATTTGGAGTATTTGAACATTTGTGCTTCGAGCTATGCACATCGAAATGGTTTATCGAATGAAGATGCACGCGCCCAGAGTTCAATCGCTCGTAATTGGCTCGACCTGGACATTTTCTCCATGAAAAAGTTCCTCCTTGATGTAATCGGGCCGTTGCGTGTACCATCACATCGTCGGTATTTGCAATATTTTTCCGGTTTGCTATCGGGCAAAATCAGAATCAATTCACATCCGCTCTACTTGCGATTCGTCACAATCGAATCACCGCCATCATGGCTACAGCATGAAAAAATCGCATTGCAACAAGCCGAATGGCGCAGTTTCATCAAAATCTACGAGGGACTCAATTGTGTTTTCACTTCAGGTGAGTTTTGATCGAAATCTTTCGTTGAATCTGGTTCAAAAATGCTAAAAGTTTTGAGAATGGCAACACAATCAAAAGTTCGGAATTCCATTCTAATCTTGATGCATTTTACAGACATTCATGTGATACCAATTACAACGCGGCAATTCATATACGAAATCGGACAGTTACGATTACGCGGCGATGTGATAATTCGGTGCTATCAAATCACAGCGAACGAACGAACAATGAACTTGCACTCGACCAAATTATTGAATCGTGAATTGATTTTCTCCACACAATTCCATACATGTGCCATTACCGAGCGTGATGTAACGTTCTATCGCAACGATTTAGACTATGCCTGTGACGGTAAGCTTTTCTTCTTTCTGTTGCCACTGCCAAAGAGTCAACCATAAAACTTTTCTCATTTCCAAAAGGGAAAAAAGTTAATTTAAAATTAAAATTGTTGCGTATTTGTTTCACTTTTCGCAGATCCTCGAATTCCAATCGATCACAAAGTCACTTTGCATTTTGGCGATAATCAGTTGAACGAGAATCGTGGTCTTTATTTCCAAAGTCCGTTGGTGAAACTCGAACCGCTGAATGCTGTCGCCAAATACAACAGTTTGGAACGATTCGATGACGGTAAGTACATTTCCTATCGAGTATTTTATATGTATTCACACATTTCGTTCGTTAAGTTGGGAAAATATTGATATTTGCCTAACTTCGGGCGTTAAGCAAAATGGTCTGGTTGTTTATATGCACTCGAAATAAGCGTTTCACTGAAGAAGCCTGACGAATTCAAAGCTTTGTAAAGTGAATTTAATTTCGTTTGAAGAAATTCCTTGTTCGCCGACACACAGCCATTAGGGCAAATAGTCGAGTCTTTGAGAACATTTGGGAATGAATTTTGAATGAATGCGATTCGTTTGGGTGCTGAATGTGAGAGAATGATGCATACAACGATATACTACTATAAATTGATTGTATATTTGGTTTGGCTCGGCTGAGAAATGCAGTCGTCGAGATCCGGATTGGAATTTTCTATCTCTTTGCTGGAGACAAGCTGGCATTTTTTTTTTTCGTTCGTTATTCTCTATTGCGTTGTCTTTCAACCAATGAATAGTTTATAGAATCGCTGCAGTTCGAAAGTTTTGAACAACCGTATCAAAGTGAATAAGACGAGACGACGACGACAACGATAGTAGAGAGAGAAAAAAAAACTATATGTGTCATCGCTTTATTTGGTAACTGCGCACTCAACATGAGTTTCAATTCGAACGAAGACATCCAAACAAGTGCACATAATCAAGTGATTTGCTGGCAAAGTTGATTTTTAGCTTATTTAGATGACAACCGGATAAAGTAACGGATCTTGAGTTTCAATAAAACCACACGAGATGATGCTGCACTTCGGAAAAAAGATGATTTCAAATTATTTTCGGTTTTATGGAAGATGGAGAGAGAAATATTGCAACGTCGCAAGATTCGGAAAGGATAATTCTTTGGCAAGGTGAACCATAGAAATTGAATACCGTGATTGTTGATGCGCATCGATGCAAAATGTACGGAAGGTGGTAGAATTTCCATTTTTTTTTCTCATATCGCTCATTGATTTTCAGTCACGTTATTAAACACAGCAGCAGCAACAACAACAACCACTCAATGAAATATAATACTTAGTTTTTTCGTTGATCGTTATCTCGGTAAACGCTTTTGTGCTGCAAACAACAAGTAAAATCAATGAAATGAGGCATTCAACGGCATACGTCGTTTATTTACAATCAAGTTCATTCACATGATCGCAATTTTACTCTTTCTCGTGTTTGCTGCTTCTTTCGACACTGTTCGTTCGTTCGCATGCAAGGTGCAAAGAAGAAAAAAATCGATCCTTCTTCCAACGGTTTTGTTCTCAGTGTTGACGACGTGCAATAAAATGAATCTGCATCTTGAGACTCTATTGGACGCAAATAATTCAATTGTACCGTTTTCTTCAATGAAATTGGCCATGGTGCATGAATTTTGCGTACCAAAGATTACATTTCCGAGCCATTCGCCTCAGTTAAAACTCAATAATTAAGCTAATTTGACCAGCGAAAGTCTCGAGTTGTCATTTCCGCTTTCTTTTTCATTTTCGCTCGCGCAGAACACACTGCGTTCTCGGGATTCGAAAAATCACAACGAATTTGTATAATTTTCCTCAAATTACACCATTCAGACGAAATGCAGCTATTATTATTGTTATCGAGTAGCAACATGTTGGTTACTCTCTCGGAAATCAAGCGTATAAAGTATGGATACTGAAAATAAAATGAAAGACGTAAAAAAAAGTGCGCAGCAGATCATTTGGCCTGCACACTGCCTCATGTTTCCGTCTTCACCGCGAGAGAGACCACGATGAAAATGAATTGCGTGCACAATTCTCAATTGACTTCCATACATAATTCATATTCGCTTCACTACTAATTAGTTGAAATACACTGAATTCTCGAGAATAATAAACAAATTCGTCTTATGATACTTCATCCGTCTTCAACTCTCCGTCTCTTCGTCTCTCTCTCTCTCTCTCTCTCTTGCTTCCAATGTATAATTATGCTTCGACGGCTTTCAAATAAAGCAGAATTTGAGATGTCATTTTATTTTCGTCCAATGAAGAAATCAAAACATAGTAGCAACGTAATGTAGACACAAGGCAATGAGCGGTCGACTCAATTCCACATCTACACATATTCATCCCATACCATCGTGAATCACATAAACAAACTCGAAAAATACACATAAACACACACATAGCCCGATGAAGGAAAACGAACACGGGACATTCATAGAATATGCTGCATTTAATATGAGTTGAGCATTGATCATTTTTCAGTCTTGCTGCTGGCTAATGCAAGTGCTGCAACGCGGCCTTAGTTTCAATGAATTTTCAAATCAAATAGAATTTTTTTTCGGTTGGTAAGTGTCAGTTTTACGAAACTCGAATAAAAAATACCAATGCACTAAATCTTCGAAAATATTTGCTCGGTGTCAAGAGAAAAGAACCACTTTAAACAAATAAAAAGAAGTCGACCCAAAATATCATTACAGCCGATTTTGTTCACTCTCTACCGCTGGCTATTTGCCTTAACGGTTCAAATACCAAACAGAGAAAAAAGTAAACATTTTTAAATGTTATTAGGATTGCGAAAGAGTAAAGAATTCGGATCGCTAAACATATTTTCCCAATGGCTTTTTTTTTCGTTGTGGAAGAGGAACACGAAATGTGTCACATTAAACACGTTTCAAGGGATTAATCAATTGAATCTCCGTCTGTGTGAGTGGATGTTTAACACCAAACAAACATGTTTTCCACTCATTTTTATTGCGGTCGCCGTTATTTGGATTTTGAACACTCACTTTTGCCACAACGAATCGAGTTTGCATTTTCATGCAAAGCGTGTGAGTGCGTTTGCTTTCAATAGCCACGAAAAACAGTAAAATGAGAATATCTGCATATTTTGAGCACGATGCTTAAATAATGTGAATGAAGAGGAGTGTTGCGATTTTTATCTGAAATTCAAATTGTGGCGCCATTTATAAATAAAAAGCGATATTCTTTGCTGCTAAAAACAGCGACCATAACAATTTCCATTCGATGTTCTTTTTTTGTCACACACATATTTTTCGTTCCGTCACCGTGGTCGCATCGTGATATTAATCCAAATTACAGACCAAATATCGTTTAAAGCGTCGTGTGCGTAGGCTGTTGAATCAATCCAAGTGATATATATATGAGCGGCCTCATAAAAATCAATATGCGGAACCATTATTGCAATGCCTTATTTGACATGGCCACATATTTTCATCGTTCTTTATTTAATCAGATGATGATTTGGTTTCAATTTCAGTATCAATTTGTCCCAAATATTTTCACGCATTTTTCTTTTCCATTGAATCTCAGTACAAACGCTGGCATTCTTTGACGTGTGTGTGTGTACGCTCACGAGTAAGAAGATTTCAGATTACAGCGAAAAAAAAGTTTTTTTTTTTCTTTTCAAAAAACACATTTTTTGCGTAGGAATCAACGATTGATTAAGTCTTCATATAGAAATCTTACACAATCACAACCGTTAACTTCCTATTGTTATGGCCCAATTGAATTTAAGTCGACCTAAGCGCAGCTTCTCGAGCACCGTTGCTTATACGAGTTGTGTGTTGGTTAAATTCAAACCGAAAACTCATTAGGTCATACCGAAATGCATGCCAAATGGATGTGGCTCAGTTCTCTTGAGCACATAACACGCATCAAGTCGTCATTCATTTCTGTCATCTGTCTATTGAGCATTTGTGGTCGTCATTGCCGTCGTTGTCGTCGTTGTTGTCGCACAATAGACAAGAACTCGAGGCATCGCACGAGATTGAGATTGATGAATTTCGTCTTTTCTTTACTTCACGCATAACAATTTGAAGATTTGTGTAGGCTTCACAATATGAATGATGATTTGTCTGCCGAGATGCAGTCTATGTGTGCTGCTAAATGTGAGAATAGCCGCGTTTTGGTTTTTAAAATTAGACATCGCAATGCATCGCAAGCTGAACAAGAGCTTAGTTCATCATCAGGGCCAGTGAAAGACGATACGATTTTGGCGTGAATGGCAGAACAAACAAAAACCGAAATCAGAAATCAGAAGGAACGAAAACACAAATCTCGCATAGAAATCAAAAACCACAAACTCATGCCTCGCATAAAAACAAATCGATCACAAAACGACAAAGAAAACACCAACAACGAACGAAGATAGGAGCAGAAAAAAAAACTGCAGCATTTGAAACCGTTCAATTGCTTATTGTGGTTTTTTTTTCTTAAGGCGTCGAACGTGTATTTCCGTCGTGTTGTTGTTCGCAAAGTGAGATTGAGCCTGAAACTAAATTTATTTACAACATCTCGCGAACCACATTCGCATTAGCAGCAAACTCCAAATAGGTTTTTCGAAAGAAAGAAAAAAAGGGAAAATCCACTGAGCAAAACAGTGAAAATCGCTTTCGTATGCGATCGTACTAAAATAGCTACCGACCGACCGACCGACCGTGAATGTGTGTGAAAGAGAAAAAGCGCGCACGAGTGTGTGTGTGTGTTGTGAAATGCTGTGAAAACCGACTGATTTTTCTCGGACCGAACACTTTTCAACTTATCCAGTTCAGTTAGAGCCGGCATCGCGTCAACAACACAACCGCACGGATCTCTCGAAAATCAAGCGCTCTCCCGATCAAATTACGCAAAAAAAGAAGAAGCGAAAATCGTTTCGAAAATAAAAACACCAGTACCGACAAAGAAATAAAAATAGACATTGTGTGTGAGTGGTTTTCAAGTGGACAAATCAAGTGTTCAACAGCGAAAAACGGTTCTCGCCAATAGAGAAAAAAAAGATTTTCTTGACGAAAATATTTGCCACTTTTTTTTGTCTGTAATTACAAATTTTGTTTTTTTGTTTTCAATCGTGAGTGTAATGTGGAAGAACCGAATACGAAAAGTCTGAATCATATATAAATAGAGGGAACGGTAACGTGTTAAGGTGGGATGATCAACTAGCCAGAACAATCCTACGCTTGTCCGCGTATCTTTATTGGTTTTTATTTATAATAAGTGGACTTTTTTTTCCTCT